CCAATGCTTTGCGCCCTAATGATCAAATAGCTCTCGACTTTTATAACCTCCACAATTCGCACACAAAGAACAAAGAAAACATTAAAAATATGTAGGATATTTCAAATCATGGACATGGAGATTTTTTTAAAAGCTATAGAAAAAAATTATTACAATTCAGAAAAAAAGTATGCAATCTTTATTTGAGACGATAGTAACACAAATATAATTTCATGATTGAAGATTATTTCATTCAAATGTTGACCGCGACTGTAGCTAAATGATCATTCGTTTGGTAAATTTTGGCATACTATTAAAAATATATCTGCGGCAGCATTCCATTAGCCCTAATGTAAACAAAATCCATTTTTTTATTTTATATGAACCTATAAGTTCTCAAAAATGCTCCTTTAAAATTTCAATTGAAAATCTCAACAATTCTTGAAGATATACCCGATTTATTGCATCAAGAGACAGCAAGAGTGTTTCTCACACTCACACAAACAGTTATTTTACGATTGGAGGGGACGATAAAACTTTTAATCCAATCGGTTTCAAATTTAACACGATATTCTGGATCTACACAGCTACCGTATAAACTGGGATAAATCCAATCGTTGAAGATCTTCTCTATTTTCGAGCTTGGTTTTTGGTGGACATTTTTTTATCTTTGTGTTTGTTCGAAAAATTTCCATACCATAACCAGATATGTAGACTTTCTAAATGCGTTGGAATTTTGAGACTCAGATGTCTCAGTGATCGGCAATCATGCCCGCCGTTGAAAAAGAAGGACTTTTCTTTATTTCCAAAAAAACAACAACAGCCTTTTTCAATTTATTTTCTTCTTCTTTAATAGAACCCCCATTCTCGATTTTATATTTTCGAGATTGTCAATGGTCTGGTAAATGAATACCAATGCATGTTAAGGTTTGTAACTTATATAATTGAATATTTAAAAGAGAAGAAAAATAATTTTCAAAATTTGGTTGTTGTTGTTTTTGTTGATTAAAGAAAAGTCCTTATTTTTGATGACGGGCATGATAACTCCTCACTGGAACATCGGAATCCGGAAATTCCAAGGGTGTTAGAAAGAATACATGTCTGGCTCTCGTATGAACTAGGATTATTGACTTCGCTCAAAAATTGGCTTTATACGATGGATATGCACTCCCAGAGAAATGTGTAAAATTTTGGAACCCATTGGATTATTAGGTTTTGAGTTATCGCTCTTGCCGTCACTTGATGCCCACACAATAAATGGGCTATGTCTTCTTGAGATTTCCACTTGGAATTTTGTAGGGACATTCTTGAATTAGTGTAGGTTTGAATTAAGTAAAAACCGGAAAGAGGGGGGGAGGGGGGTTGTCCTTTAAGTCTTTCAAATACATGTATGCGAAGTTATAAGCCTTTAAAATTATGGATGCCCATATGCCAGCGGGTTGAAACTTTTCGAAATTTGAAATGGTGAATGATATATATATATATATATAATTTAAATAATTTTACAAACAACTTACCTTTCCGGTATTGTACTGTAGTACAAAAGCAATGTGGCAATTTCATAACAATTCAGGCCAGCTGTTAACACACTTTCAGCATCAACTGTGATCAACGGATTTCCTTTCAAGTCTCGAGTTCCTGAAAAAATAGTAAAAGAAAATGAAAGCAAGAAACAAATTAAATATAAATTAATTCATAACAATATACAAAACATAAATCTACATATTCATGGTGGTGGTGGTCCAAGACAAGACCTGATAATTTGTTAAGCTCTTTAATAAAAATATGCCAGACCATTATTCTACCATTAGAAGCTGTACAACAACGCATTTCCCTAGTTACCTGCCTGCAAAGAGAAATTTCTGTTGTGCCAATGAAATATGAAATGAGTGCGAAAGATTTTCCAATTAAAATTTCATTTGCATATTCCATTGCGCCAAGGAAAATGTGAAACTTGCAGAAAATGCAATAACAAAATTTCATGGGGTGTGTTTTCTGTGAAGAAGAAGAAGAAAAAAATTGAAACGATCAAATGTCAATATAATGCAATCATCACTTGACCAATCAACCAGACAGCAAGTTAGCCAAGTTAAGTCAAGCCAATCAGGCAGGCAGCTAGCCAGCCATCAATCGGGGATCAAGTTACGTTGGTGGTTGGTATTCGTTTTTATTGACAAGTTATTAGAATTTACAAACTGCTATGTGATGTGCGCGAGATGCATCTGATGGAAGTGATGGACAGTCCAGATTTTTTTCTCAGCTTCTTAATGGACCCATAATGGAGACAGTGGTAGTAATGTAAGTTTCGAAAATTGTTAGATTTCAAGGGAATATGACAAGGGTCGTACATGTTCTACTCTACACTAAAAAGGTGTGATTCATTGAGATTTTATACAAAAATTAGGATATAAAACATATGGACATGCTATTTTTATAGATCAATATAGCTTTCATTAATTTGATCTAATGTGAGGGTGGATATCAAGAGGTTTGATTAAAGCCTCCTATTTTCCAAGGCTATGATTTTGTATAGTCCATCAATAAAGATTCCGCATCATTTTCGTTATTTTAAAGGGCTTTCGGCACATTTTCAACAGAAGTAGATGTAATTTTGCGTTTCAGTTTCTTGGTGAGTAAAAACTTAACTGTCAATACAGATCTATATTGTGGGATGACATGTAACGGTTGAAGTTTTAAATCTATTTTTCCAACCGAAGAGGATGAAAACGTCGGAAGAATTTTATGGTAGGTTTCCGTATTGCAATCCTTTTAGATATTTTGATATTACTAGGCGGATTTTACAAAAAAAAAAAAAAAAAAAAAAAATGTACGTCAATGTACCATAGTCTCAAGCAATTTCAGGTATTTTGAAGACCCGCCTCTTAGTGCAGGCTTCAATCCTGTCTTCTACAATCCATCTCTGTCTATAAATTCCGAATTTTATTAGGAAATTTCAAACCATCCCGCTCGCATCGTTCTTGGTTAGATATTCAGAAAACGATAATGCAATTTGTAAGCATCAATGGAATGCTTATGAAAGTTGACATAAGATTAATAACAAAATATCCATCACGAGTTCAAAGTATTTAAACATTTCTGGGGTTATCATAAAAAGGGTAATTTAATTGAAGCATATGCCTCCCTGTACAGTTCTGATAGTCAAGGATGGATATCAATGGAAATCTTACGAAAAGCGGAAATGATTCCAACTCGATTTCGAGGTATTTTTTTTTGCTGATCATTCCTTGAAGAGACTATTGGGGCTGTGTCTTGCGGAACAATTCTGCTAGTCTAAAAGCTGCATCTATGGAAAGCTTATGCAGAAAACTGCCTATTGGTACAGCAAGAAGATTTTTTGTGTTAAATAAAAAAACAGTAAAGAAAGTAGTAAAGTCGGACGGGGCCGACTTTATGATACCCTTCACCACTTTGGGTATATTCAACAGATCGTCGAATTTTTGAAGGACCATTATGTAACTGGACCGATTTTCAGGAAACTGAACACACATCATTCTAGACCTACTTCAGTACGCTGTGCCAAATTTCGTGCAAATCGAAAGATATATAGGAACTTTGGTGCACCATTTACATTAAATCGGACGAAAATATATATATGGGAGCAATATCTAAATGTGAAGCGATTTTTCCCAATATCAATAGGGTTCGTCCTTGGGCCAAATAAGTGACCTATGCCAAATTTCATCCAATTCGGATTGTAAATGCGACCTGTACTTTGTTTACAATTTAAAATGGACAGACGGACGGACATGCATAAATGGACTTAAAAACTGATTCTATGCATATTCTCAAGAGGAACCATGTGTCTATCTCGTTTCCTTTTGTCTGTTACAAACATATGCACAAAGACATAATACCCTGTACCATAGTGTGTTGAAGGGTATAATAAAGAAAGGGTAACTCAATTGTCCAGTGTACATTTCGGAGATATCAAAATAAAAATATTGTAAATTTTTCTCTGACAACCAGAAATTCTAAAATGGTCGCCAATTCGATTGGAAAGTGCGGCCGGAGGAAGGACCCATATAAATCCGAATATATATAAATAGTTTGGAAATAGGTCTTTTGACCTTTGAAAATTAGAAAGTCTAGGAAAGGATTATTATATCTTCGAATATTTTTATTGAGAATAAATATTTTACTACGTCTCCCTGTATTATGGAACTAGGATCCTGAAAATACCTATATATTGAAATGTTTCTAATATAAGACCATTTACCCTCTGAGAAATTTTAAGCGGGTTATTTCATAATTAATTTTCTTTTTACTAAGAGGATATTTGCCTGAAAAAAAGAAAAATACAGGCCTATGGAATATATTTTATTTATTGGGGTAAAATTCTATGACGATCTACCCATGGTCATGCGTCATTCTGTTGTAATCACGTTAGCTTTCGAAGGAACTGAGATAGGGTGCTGAACTCAGCGTAGAGTTGTCCCTTGTCTATATTCTGGTTAAGTTCAAAAAATGGACTATATCGGTCCACATTTAGGTATAGCCTTCATATAACTTCACCTTTGCGGTTATGAGTATATTGGACGCTTTTTTATCCGAATTTACTGTAATTCGAATTTACTGTAATTATACCCTACACAACTATGTTGTCAGGGTATTATAGCTTTGTACAGCCCCAAAAGTTTGTAACGCAGCGAAATATTGGTCCTAGACCTACCTTTAAGTATACCGTTCGTTATATCTCGACTAGCTGAGTCGATCTAGACATGTGTCCGTCCGTCCGTCCGTCCGTATGTCTATTATAATTTGTAAACACGATACAGGCCACAGTTATGGACCAATCTTCATGAAATTTTGCATGTAGAATGGCTTCTGGCCAATGAAGACCCCTATTGTTTTTTGGAAAGATCAGTTAAAAACTTTATTTTTGTCTAATTTTCTGGTCTCTGGGGCCTCTGGAGCCCAATTATGACCCAAACACTGTGAATTTTTGCATGGAGAAGTGGATCGGGCCAAAGAATAAGCATGCCTGTTTTGATAAAGATCGGTCAATATTTTGCGGGTCAAATTTACCCTAACTTTTGTGTGAAAAATGACAAAATGTGTATTCTATAGCGTATATATTTACCCCTGAAGAACAAAGTCCCGAAAAGTTGATAGCATATCCAAGAGTAGTGCTTGTCCTTTAAATTGATACAAATTATGTTGTCGTGTGTACTCGGATGTGGGAGTTGCACTTAAATATTGACAGGTGCTTAGGTATTCAAATATTATTTAGTAACACACTAGAGGGCGAAAATATAACGCTGATAGTTTTGAAATTTTCCATGAGAATTCAGGTATGGTCAAGGACAACGCCTATAATTTTCGGTGATGACCAATTAATAATATTGGGATGAAGTGGACCGAAAACTTAATTTTTTGTGTTTTTTTCGAGTTGATCTATAGGCCACAATTGAAGGCCGAACATCACAACACAATACCTGGTGAAAGGAATCGGGGCAAGTAATTAGAAGAGATATACTGAATATTATTAATATTTGTTGGCCTCTAGTCGATCAAGAGGGTGCAAATATCGCGAAATATTGCCCAATCTCAGAATGTAGTATCACAGAAAGTTAGATTTTCGTGGAAGTTGTGTAGGGTATCATATGATCGGCCCCGTCCGACTATACTGCTCCGCTCACTGGTTTGAAATTATATATTTTTGTATTTTGGACAGGTTCGAATTGACTGTACGTTGGGATAGGTTGCTGAATTTTCATAGAGTTGTCTTATTGGATGAAAAATCTTCCAAAAATATCAATATTTCTTTCCTTTTAGTTATATCCCTAATACTGTGGTACCGAATGTTCTCGCGATTTTGTGTATTTAGAATCGATTTTTTAACCGAGTTGGCTATTATTTCATATTTTAGGTTCTCATTAGGTAGAAAATATCCCCACCAAAAATATCCACGTTGACCCAAGACCCAATGTAACGATCTGGTCCATTAGCCGGTATTTGAAAAATGTTGGGTACATTTTACTTTCTATTTTGGGTTCTTATTGGGTTAATTTTTTACAAAAAAAAGTATTATCGGTCCACTATAAGGTAAAGCATTTTGAAGATTTGTTATATATTAGGCTGGAGGATAAGAAATCCATTATTTTTATATGAACAATAGGACTTTATTTACCATGCTTCGGAATGTCCGATTTGGGCCAAATATGCATCGTTTTGTTGTATGATTTGTTGCCATTTTAAAAGTAACTTCATTATGCCTCTCTCATAGAAGTCCTGCTCTCTATTTGCAAAAAATCTCTAGTAGGCGATTTTCACAATCCTTCCTTAATACCAATTTTTTATCATTAACGAAATTTTGCAATGCAAGAAAAAATATGATAATTGCTTGGTGCCAAGTCCGGACTGTATGTCGGATGCATTAAAGCTTCTCAACCAAGTCACCGAAGTTTCTGGCGAGTCATTGTAGATGTGTGTGGCCTAGCGTTGTCCTGGTGGAACACGACACCTCTCCGGTTGACAAATTCTGGCCAATTGCTATCTTCAAACGGTCAAGTTGTTGACAGTAGAGATCAGAATTTAGCGTTTGGCTCTATTTGCAAAAAATCTCTAGTAGGCGATTTTCACAATCCTTCCTTAATACCAATTTTTTATCATTAACGAAATTTTGCAATGCAAGAAAAAATATGATAATTGCTTGGTGCCAAGTCCGGACTGTATGTCGGATGCATTAAAGCTTCTCAACCAAGTCACCGAAGTTTCTGGCGAGTCATTGTAGATGTGTGTGGCCTAGCGTTGTCCTGGTGGAACACGACACCTCTCCGGTTGACAAATTCTGGCCAATTGCTATCTTCAAACGGTCAAGTTGTTGACAGTAGAGATCAGAATTTAGCGTTTGGCCATATGGAAGAAACTCATAATAAATAATTCCTTTCCAGTACCACAAATGCTTAGCAGAACCTTCTTGGCCGTTAGTTCTGGTTTGGACACCGTTTGATGTCCTTCACCGCTCTTTGACCACGATAGTTTTCGCACATGGTTATCGTATGTGAACCATTTCTCATCTTTAGTCACCATACGTTTAAGAAATTCGCAGATTGAAATTCGATCCATCCTATTTTTTCTGTTCAATGGTGTGACACCCAAACATCGAGCTTCTTTTTGAATCCAGCTTTGTGTAAATGTTTTAAAACAGTTTTATTACGACTGATAATATGCCGGTCAACTTTGATAATTTCTCCGATTTTTTAGAAATTTTCGACCACCGGCCAAATGGATTTCTTTTTCCCCAACCTAATATGTTTATATCCGCCAACCATCATTTTCGGTATTTTCAAGTTCCCGGGTCAATTTTACAGCCAGGGTCTGCAGTTTGGTATTTGGTAAAGACTCCATATTCATGTTCCGATTCAGACTTTTTTGAATGTCAATCTCATGTTGAATGCCATAAAGAGTTCGATACATTTTGTTAAAAAAACGTCTTTGGAAAAGTTGAAACCGTTGACAATTTTTTTTAAATTCAAGTTTATTTTTTTTTTAATATACGACTAAAAATGCTTTTAAACGGGGTTTATAAAAATCAAGGCCTATTAAAAATGTTTTCTTATTAAATTAATGTTTATGTAGGTCTTTAAACCCACAATTATCAAAGCTATAGCCGCATTATTAAACAACTTCGCTAAGCTATTTATTTAAAAAGTTCACGCTTGTGGTTGAGGGGTACCCATGATTAATATTTCAATGAAAATGATCTATATATGTTAAAATCTACATTTTCAAAATTTCATTTTTTTAAATTTATCACTCTGGCATCAGTGTTCTTCATTAGTCCGTCAGTCATTAGAATGAAAATGACTGGCTATTAAACGAAAAACAGAACCATTAGCCAAACATCTTCGATGGTGTGGTGTGTGTAAATTGAGTCTGGTTAGTGAGAAATTGCAAATCAATTTCAGAAAATCTTTTAAATTCCAAAAAAAGAAAAAAAAATAAAAAAAAACATCTAACAGTTTGAGTAAATTGTTTTTGTCCCCAACCCACTGAGTTGTTGTTGCCACGACCACATCAGGGTTACTAGTTACCTAGCAGATTAGCAATTTGTTTAGCAGTGAAAGTAACTAGAACTATGGCATCTTTTTTGTCGTTCGGAAGAAGAAGAAGAGGAGGCCATTGTAGATTGAAAGGTGTTGGTCATAAAAAAGAGATAAACTGCAACCGCAATAAATGGCAAAAGGTGTGGCTGGCTGGCCAGTCGGCCGTCCGACTGGGTGTTATTTTTGTATGTTTGTGTAACGTCTAAGAATTAAAAGAAAGTGTGTTGTCGTGGTTTTTCGTTTAATTACTAATGCCACCGCTACCGCTTCTTGTGGGGTAGCACTCGTTTTGTGGGCCACCAATTTTTTTTAGTCAAAGGAAGGAACAACCAACAGCATAGAAATATTTAATGCTCACCACTACCGCTGCTTAGAAGCTGTTATATTGATGGCAATTTTCTGGCGGTTGGTCTGTCTGTCGTTGGTTTGTTGTTCCACTATCTTTCGATATCAACAACTCAGCCAAAAAAAAAAAAAAAAAAAAAAAAAATAGAAACACCAAAACAAGAAGACGAGGAAGAATAAATTCAACTTACCTGGTAAATAGATGCCAGATAAAAGCAACTTTTCAGGCAAATCGGTAATTAAATTTGGCGCTATAATTTCACTTTCCAAATGATCTGTAACGAAATGTGCAAAGAAAACAACAAAAAAATTAGGTGAAATATAAGATATGATTTAGAAACAATGTTATTTTCTTGAATTTAAAATAAAATCAGAGATAAGCAGTTAATTTGTGTTTGTTAATTGTTGTGCCTTTGGGGATATGGGTATTTGTGAATATCACAATGACTTGGAGAAAAGTTATCAGATTTCCAGGTGATAAAAAATGCACGTGTTGTACTAAATCAAATTAAGTCATTTCCTTTTTTCAAATAAACGCTTTAGTCGCAAATAAATTGATGTTGTTGACTATTTGATCCGTTACTTGGCGAAACCAAATTAAACAATTAAAACCGGCGTTAGCATGGCACAAAGATGTCATCTTTTAATAACCTCCTCCATGTGTAAAAGCCAAACACTATATCCACTGCCAATGAAAGCTTAGAATGGATTTCATTGGATACCTATACCAAAACTAAACTCCTATGTTGTTAAAATATATGAAGTCCTGTTTTCTCTATACAGACTAATTGTTCTGTATAAAGATACGTCAAACCTTACCGAGTAAGTTTATACTAATAAAAGTGCCTTCTATAAGTAAATGTAAAGACAATTTTGGCTAAAAAACTTTAACAGCCTGTTTCTGGCGGATTAGAAACGAATTCGTCCGTCTGTCCATTGGAATGTTTATGTTTTGATAAAGATCGGTCAATACTTAGTGGGTCATATGGACCCAAACTTTTGTGTAAAAAATACATACTCCTGATGGTCATAGACACTTGACCATTAAATTGATACCAATTATATTGTTGTTTGTACTCGGATGTTATGATATTGTTTAGTACTACTATCACCCCCACTACGCCTATAATGTTCGGTGTTGTTGAGATGATATTTAGGGTATGCAATAAACCGAAAACATTAGGCAGAACATCACATATTTTAAACGGCGAAGGTCATCTGACCAAATACTTATGACGGCTGTTTAGATAATGATCGGTCAATATTCCGAGTGTCAAATCAATTACCTGGAGAAAACAAGATTTGGAAAATATGCCGGGCTTAGAAAGTAGAGCCTTTTAATCGACCAAGAGAGTGCAAATATCGCGAAATATTGCCCAGGTTCAAACTCTAGAACGGCCGAAGGTTAGATTTTCGTGGCAGTTGGTATACTGCTCCTCACTGGTGAAGGGTATCATGTAATCGGCTCGGTCCAACTTGACGACTTTCCTTACTGGTTTTAAGTTATATTTTCACGACAAGAAATTTATGGCGCCCGATTTGAAATACTGTTAATGCTTTGGTTTTTTGGTGTAACAATGCTGTCTCATCGATATAACGAATAAAGATTAATTTTCACGAAACTTAACACACATCACTCTAGACCTAATTCATTACGCTGTGCCAAATTGGGTGCAAATCGAAATATATTAAGGGACTTTGGTGCACCATTTACATTAAATCAAACGAAAATATATATGGGGCTATATCTAAATCTGAACCGATTTTCGGAAAACTTAACACATATCACTCTAGGCTTAATCTAGTACGGTATGCTAAATTTCGTGCGAATCGAAAGATATATAGGGTCTTTGGTGCACCATTTACATTTAATAGGACGAAAATATATATGGGAGCTAAATCTAAATCTGGACCGATTTCTATAGGGTTCGTCCTTGGGCCAAATAAGTGACCTATGCCAAATTTCATCCAAATCGGATCATAAATGCGACCTGTACTTTGTTCCCAACAATACATGGACGGACAGACGGACATGCGTAAATTGACTCAGAAAGTGATTCTATGCATATTCTCAAAAGGAACTATGTGTCTACCTCGTTTCCTTTGGCTGTTACAAATATATGCACAAAGACATAATACCCTGTGGTACAGGGTGGTGAAAGGTATAAAAAACCAGTAAGGAAAGTAGTAAAGTCGGACTGGGCCGACTATATGATACCCTTCACCATATATATTCTACATATGTATCCTAACAGACATCGCTTTTTTGTTATATATCCGATTTCAGGGAAAATTGCCAGAGACTAATTTATATTACTTCAGTACGTTGTGTCAATCGGATCTAGGATCTTTTCATGAAGCCTACCAACATCATTCTAGCCTTAATCCAGTACCCTGTGTCAAATTTCGTGCAAATCGAATGATTCTCAGAGACTTTTGTGCACCAATTGCCTAAAATCCGATGCAAATGTATATGGGATCTATATCTAAATCTGAACCGATTTTCGCGAAACTTAGCACACGTCATTCTAGCCTTAATCCAGTACCCTGTGCCAAAATTTGTGCAAATCGAATGATTTTCAGAGACTTTTGTGCACCAATTGCCTAAAATCGGATGAAAATATATATGGGATCTATATCTAAATCTGAACCGATTTTCGCGAAACTTTGCACACATCATTCCAGACTTAATTCAGTACGCTATGCCAAAATTCGTGCAAATGAAAAGATTTCCAGGGACTTTGGTGCACCAATCACCTAAACTCGGCCGAAACTATGTATGGGAGCTATATCTAAATCTGAACCGATTTTCATGAAACTTAGCACACATTGTTACAGACGCAATTCGGTACGCTATGCCAAATTTCGTGCAAATCGAAAGATATATAGCGTCATTGGTGCACCAATTACCTTAAATCGGATGAAAATATATATGGGAGCTATATCTAAATCTAAACCGATTGTCACGAAACTTTGCACACATCATTCTAGACTTAATTCAGTACGCTGTGGCAAAATTCGAGCAAATCAAAACATTTCCAGTGACTTTACTGCACTATTTACCTAAAATCGGGCGAAGCTATATATGGGAGCTATATCTAAATCTGAACCGATTTTCATGAAACTTAGCACACATTTTTATAGATGCAATTCGCTACGCTATGCCAAATTTCGTGCAAATCGAAAGAAATATAGGGCCATTGGTGCACCAATTACCTTAAATCGGATGAAAATATATATGGGAGCTATATCTAAATCTGAACCGATTTTCACGAAACTTAGCACACATCATTCTAGACCTAATTCAGTACCCTATGCCAAATTTCGTGGTGCACCATTTACATAAAATCGGACAGAACTATATATGGGAGCTAAATCTAACTTTGAATCGATTTTCACGAAATTTAGCATACATCATTATGGACCTAATTTAGTACTCTGTGCCAATTTCGTGCAAATCGAAAGATATATAGGGACATTGCACACCATTTACCTAAAATTGGACGAAAGTATATATGGGAGCTATATCTAAATCTGAACCGATTTTTCTCAATTTCAATTGGGTTCGTCCTTGGGCAAAACAAATGAGCTGTGCCAAATTTCATCCAATTTGGATTATAAATGCGACCTGCACTTTGTTTGCAATTTAACACCAACAGACGGACGGATGGACGGACATGCATAAATCGACTCAGAAAGTGATTCTATGCATATTCTCAAAATGAACTATGGGTCTATCTCGTTTCCTTTTGCCTGTTACAAAAATATGCACAAAGACAGTGTGGTGAAGGGTGTACAAATTCGAAAGTTCGGTGCTTGACAAAATTTATTGCTTGCGGGAAGCAAATGCCTTTAATCCACATATAATTTTATTTCCAAGCTTCTTAAGCATTCGTTAGCACGACATGTGATAAGTTAGTCAGTTCAACATTGCTTCAAGATAATGCAAACTTTTTCTATCTTCTGATAATGAAAACTAAAAAAACTGTGGTCTTGACCATGAATGAAAGTTCAAAGGGTTATCCATAACAAAAAAAACTATGTTGTTATAGCCTATTTATATGATGTTTGTTTATTTTTTGTACCCGACCTCTATTATGGCAACGGCGTTATATTAAATTTTTTCATAGCATTTGTTATTTTACAAAATACCAACATTATAATTATTACAAAGAACTATATTCAAAAGCATTCATCGTGCGCAATGTTTGTAATAATGATCCCGCCCCATTTTAGACATTTCGATTCTCCTAGGCACATTTTCAACCGAAGAAGTTGTGAATAACAAATTAAATGATATAGAACCCTAATAAAATCTCCGACCGATTATAGGTATTTAGAATTCCCATATCATGGTGTAGGGTACCAATAGGTCGCCCTAGCCGAACTTAAAAATTTTTACTTGATTCTTGTCATTTATTTTTTTTTTTTTTTGCATTAGCATCGGTGAGATAAGAACCATAATTCTTTTTCCGAATTTTAGGCAAAATATTTATTATCAATTTTAGTTTTATTAAGTAGATTGTCAATTCAAGATCGCGATCGGATGATATGACGAAAAAATAATTTTAAAATAAAATGCGTAAATTACAAATAGTATTCGCTTTAATTTGCCTATGGACGTCGGAATATGTGTCGGCGGAAAGTACAAGTCAAAAAAGATTGCAACAAATTCAAAATAATATCGATGTAAATGCAACAGTGTGTGAGAATTTCTATCAATATGCTTGTGGCAAGTGGTGGGATTCAAACCTAGTGGCAAATCGAGGAAATCTGGAGAGTCTACAAGCAACGGTGAACATGGAAATGGAAAAAATCTTTGCAGCCAAGGATTTTAATAATTCAACAAAATTTTTAAAAAATCCCCACAACTATTACCAGGCCTGTGTGGAGAGTTCTGGTGGAGAAAAGGAAGTTGGAGAATATTTGAAATGGCTAAATACCGAGGAGGCTATGAAATGGCCAACAGAGTTGTGGAATAATGAAAGTCAGTGGAATTGGGATTATGATTGGATTGAATTATTGGCATTGACACGAAGATATGGGTTCAATGATCTATTCTTCCAGGAAGACATTACCCAACGTATAGATGATACTCGGCGCATGATAATTGAATTGAAACGTCCCAAATTGGAGAGAATGGAGAATCTTTGGTCTTATATGCTAAAAAATAACATCTCAGAATTTAAAGAGATCTTTGAAAAATTTAGTGAATTTAATCAGGCACTATTCGATGGCTTGTCGGAATTATTCCCCATTCAGGATTCTTATTTGGATAGTCACATTGATGATGATTCCGATTTGGTTGCCTTGGGGGATTTGCAAATGCCCTGGTTGGAGAAATATTTATGTGTTCTTCTAAATCAAACCAATGTTGATCCGCAAATGCAGTTGTACATACAAAGTGTGGATTATTTGAAGGGGCTGTTTGCCCTGCTGATAGAATATGATAACTCCCTGATTTGTGATTACATACATTTGCAGTTTTATGTGGATCTAATGCGTCAAGATGTGAAACGTGAAGAGGGGAATTGTATGACAAGTACATGGGTGGAATTTCCTTTGGTCCTGCAATGGTTGTATGGAGAACAACATCCAGAGGTTAAACGTGAAGTTCTGGTGATTGAAGATATTTACAGAAAACTAAAAGAGAATTTCTACGCCACCCTGCATTTAAATGTCTATCAATTTGGCAAAGACATTTTAAATTATTTGGATATGAAATTAGAAAATCTCAACCTAACAACAATAGTGGATATTTCCCCTGAAACCTTTGAAAAATTCTATGGTCATTTAAATCTCACAACGGATGATTATTATGGGAATATTTTAAAATTAAGGAATTTCAAATTCAATATCACTCATCAATGTCTAAATTCGCATCCACAAACTCCAAGTGAACTAATGTTTCTGAATACCCTCTTTGGAATAAAGGAGAGCCCTGCTCAATACCATCTGCCTCGTTTATATGCCCGCCAAAGTTGTATCTTTTTACCCCTAACCATATTACAGTACCCCTACTACAGCCTGGACATGCAAGATCTTTACCTTTACAGTTCGTTGGGCTTTCATTTGGCCCGAGAAATCGCCAAGGCTTTTAATCCCAAGAATTTGGAAATCACTCTAGACGGTTCCAATGATTACAACATGGCTGATGAAATATTTGATTATCCAAAATTTGGCCTTACAATGCGTCGTTTAAAAACGGATTTTTCCTTTACACATGAAATTGAAGAAGTTATTGCCGATTTGGATGGTCTAAAATTGGCCTATGAAACATTTCTTGCCGAACATCGGGATATTATACATAAGGAAGTCTTTGTGATTGACGGAGTGCCGCGTACGGTCAAACATATTTTCTTTCTCAATTATGCCCACAATTTTTGTAATCGAAATTGTTTGGAGAGTGCCATGAATATAGGGCAATATAATTCGTGTAATCGTGTCAATGTACCTCTAACACGTTTTGGCAAATTCCGATATGGTTTCGGATGTAAAAAGAATGTTAAATGGGGTTATCCCATGTGGAGGGGAAAGAGTAATAAATGAAATGTAAATAAATGTATATATTTATAGGAAATGACATTTGTTTTATTTATGAAATTATCTAAATTAAATTAAAAAAAATAATAATTTGGAAATGAAATCAGACTATGGAGTCGCGGTCTATGAGACCATTTTGTTTAGATTTGCATGATTTGTGACGACTGTGGGCGTAAATCAAATAATGACGATAAGTTCGGTTGGATCGAGCTTTTTATGCCCACCACCATGAGGTTCGCATTAAAAATACCTTAAAATTAGTCTAAGACCTTTAGCATACAAAAAAAAGGAGGATCCTTTACATGAGACATATGGCAAAATACGGAACTTTATTTAAAAGTTCTTAGGAATACGTTTTGTACACCCGATTATCAAAGGATATCCCCTACTATTAGACAATGCAGATGTCAAATTACATCTATTTTTGTAAAATATGCCTAGGATCATGAACCTTATTATAAATATTTGACAGTCGTTCAAAAAACGTCCTAGTCGAATGGTGCCAAAACATGTTGAAGAAATAATAAATCGCTGTGCTTCACCACATCGTCACAAGTGACGAATCATTGATCTCTGTAGGATATCAATTCTGAGTTATACACCACAATTTCAAAACCGAACAGTAAAAGACGAATCATTGTGCATCGGACAATCTTGACTCTCATAAAACGCCTCAATCTAATCCCTTTTTTGACTGACCAGAACGTGGAATTGATTCACGGTACATCCTTGTATTGGCACCAAATGACTTCATTTTTACCATACATAAAGAAAAAATGCATTGTCAACAATTTTCCTTGCAAAAAATTATCAATATTGGTCCATGTATTCGCATGAGCCCCAAATACAATGGTACCGCATCACACATCAATTCTGATCGCAACGGCCTAGCTATGGATCTTTTCACGGCCTAGCTATGGATCTTTTCGGCCTAGCTATGGATCTTTTCACGAAGCTTAGCAACATCATTCTAGACTTAATTCAGTACCCTATACCAAAATTCGTGCAAATTGAAAGATATATAGGGGCTTTGGTGCACCAATTACATAAAATCGGACGAAAATATATATGGGACCTCTGTCTAAATCTGAACCGATTTTCAGATTTAGATATAGCTAGCAAATCGAATGATTTTCAGATACTTTGGTGCACCAATTAACTAAAATCGGATGAAAATATATATGGGACTATATCAAAATCTGAACCGATTTTCACGAAACTTTGCACACATCGTTCTAGACTTAATTCAGTACGCTATGCCAAAATTCGTGCAAATGAAAAGATTTCTAGGGACTTTGGTGCGCCAATTACCTAAAATCGGGCGAAACTATATTTGGGAGCTATATCTAAATCTGAACCGATTTGCATGAAACTTAGCGCACATTATTATAGACGCAATTCAGTACGATATGCCAAATTTCGTGCAAATCGAAAAATATATAGGGGCTTTGATGCACCAATTACTTTAAATCGGATGAAAATATATATGGGAGCTATGTCTAAATCTGAACCGATTGTCACGAAACTTTGCACACATCATTCTAGACCTAATTAGGGACGCTCTGCCAAATTTCGTTCAAATCCAAAGATATATAGGGACTTTGGTAAACAATTTACCTTAAATCGGACGAAACTATATGGGAGCTATATTTAATCTGAACCGATTTTCACGAAACTTTGTACATATCATTCTAGATTTAGTTTAGTACGCTATGCCAAATTTCATGCAAATCGAAAGATATATAGGGACTTTGGTACATCATTTACCTTAAATCGGAGGAAAATATAAATGGGAGCTATATCTAAATCTGAACCGAATTTTCCCAATTTCAATAGGGTTCGTCCTTGGGCCAAACAAATGAGCTGTGCTAAATTTCATCGAATTCGGATAATAAATGCGACCTGTACTTTGTTTACAATTTAACGGACAGACGGACATGCATAAATCGACTCAGAAAGTGATTCTATGCATATTCTCAAAAGGAACCATGTGTCTATCTCGTTTCCTTTTGCCTGTTACAAACATATGCACAAAGACATAATACCCTGTACCACAGTGTGGTGAAGGGTATAAAAACTATATCCATACTCCAAACCCACCCTCAAATTAAAAATTTTAGGATACCATTCGGTTAACCAAATATTTACCAACTTTAGTACACATAATTCCCTTAACTCCCCTATGATGATTCTATGAACAATTCTAAGCAACTTTGGTGAAGGAACCTAAGGTCAATCTCGATTTTAGAATCTCCCACTTTTCAAAAATGTTTTTTCCCCCTATAACATCATTTTGATTCAAAATGCGATTTTTTATTTATAGTTATATTATTTTTGTATGTGTATATGGGGGTTTTTGGGTCGAAAAATTCATTTCTGATCTCTATTTTTACCTATGACCCACGCAAGAGAGCGTTTCATACATATTTTGACTATAAAACAGACGAGATAGACCTACGGTTCCTTCACCAAAGTTGCTTAGAATTGTCCATAGAATAAATCTAGGGGCTGGTTTTAATCGAATTTTTCCGCTCCATACAAATTGGCCCGCCCTAGTATTCATGTATTCAAAAAGTACTAAACAGTACTAAATTTGGCACAGTTTGAGGTACGAATGGAACTGAAGTCCTAAAATTTGAAATCAACATTTAGTACTTTTCATGCCGTTCTAGTACGAATTTCCCAGATATTTCTGACACCTTTTGGTGTGACCCTCAATCCTAATTTCAAGATTTTAGCTGCATTGGTGAATCGTTAAGAAAAATATCGTTTAATTAATTCGAACTTACCATCGGTCAACGAATTACGCCTATCTTCGGCATTTTCTTCGTCACTGTCTATGTGGGGAAATGATTTTCCCAAACAGAATCTCGGTAGGGTAGGTGATGTATTCGAATCTTTCGGTTGGTTATTATTTTCACATACATTGTTGTTGGTGTTGCTGCTTGCGTTATTATTGTTGTTGTTTTGACCATTAGCAATGTTATTATTATTGTTGTTGTTGCTGCAGTTATTTCTATTATTAGCATAATTCAAATGTCCCTTGGTGTATGACGAATTACTGGAACTACTCGATGCAGTACTAAGACCACTGGCACTACTATTACCCGACGATGTTGAATTCATGCTATCCTGACGATTGGTGAAACGACGCAACATATATTTGTTGTTGTGTAGCTTATTGTTTTTCGTAATCAGCTCACTGCGTCTCAGGATACATTTTGGTGAACCGGTGGTTGCATTGTTGTTGGTGGTGTTCTTTTGATCCGCCGCTTCTTTATTCGCCATCGATGATGGTTTTTGGTCGGAGACGACATTGTTGTTGTGGTGGTTTTGTTGATGATGATATGGTCCTGTTAGCTGATTGAGCGATAAACGCTCTATGCTATGCTCAACACCAATTAGCAGATTTTGCAGAAGTTGTGGCAAATCGTCACTCAACATTTCGAGGGCAATGGGACTCAGGTACAGAGAATTATCATATGGATCGAAGGAGACAATTTTCAGGGTGGGATCTGCGGAAAATGAAGTTGGTGACTCGTTCGTTACAGTTGACGCCGGCGATGATGATGTTGTCGCTGTTGTTGATATCGTTCGAGTTTTGGCAATATAATTTAGCGTTGGTGTACGCCAAATGGCATACAATTTTGGTTCGGACTTATTTTCACCTGCAATACAAGAGAAAAGCAATTATAACACAATAATAAATATTTCTCAAAATATTTGTATTTAAGGCCTTTAAAGGCTTCCATATCCTAAAAGAGGCATTTTAAGGTCTTTAAAGGCTTCTATCATCTCAAAATGGCATTTTAATTTTCTGTGGTCTAAAAAGGAATTTTAAGGCCTTTAAAGGGTTCTATCGCCTAAAAAAGGCATTTTAAGTTTTGTGTTCTAAATAACCATTTTAAGGCCTTAAAGGCTTCTATCGCCCAAAAAGGCATTTTAAGGCCTTTAAAGGGTTCTATCGCCTAAAAAAGGCATTTTTAGTTTCTGTGGTCTAAAAAAACATTTTAAGGTCTTTAAAGGCTTCTAAAAAAAGCATTTTAATTTTCTGTTGTCTAAGGCCTCTAAAGGCTTCTATCGCCTAAAAAGACATTTTAATTTTCTGTGGTCTAAAAATGCATTTTAAGCCTTTAAAGGCTTCTATCTCCTGAAAAGACATTTTAAGGCCTTTAAAGGCTTCTATCGCCTAAAAAAGGCATTTTGATTTTCTGTGGCCTTAAAAGGCATTTTAAGGTCTTTAAAGGGTTCTATCGCCTAAAAAAGGTATTTTAATTTTCTGTGGTCTAAAAAGGCCTTTAAAGGCTTCTATAGCCTAAAAAAGGCATTTTGATTTTCTGTGGTCTTAAAAGGCATTTTAAGGTATTACAGGGCTTCGATCGCCTATAAAAGGCATTTTAATAATACCCTACACAAGTATGTTGTCAGGGTATTATAGTTTTGTGCAGCCCCAAAAGTTTGTAACGCCGCGAAATATTGGTCCTAGACCCACCTTTAAGAATACCGATCGACTAGCTGAGTCGATCTAGACATGTGTGTCCGTCCGTCCGTCTGCCCATTATAATTTGTAAACACGATACAGGCTACAGTTATGGACCAATCTTCACGAAATTTTGCATGTAGGATGGGTTCTGCCCAATGAGGACCCCTATTGTTCTTGGTAAAGATCGGTTAATATTTAGGGGATGAAATGGACCAAATACTTAATTTTTGTCGGTTTTTCTGGTCACTGTAGAGGCCGCAATTATGGTCCGAACATCGCGAAATTTTACATGGAGAAGGGGATCGGGCCAAAGAATAAGCATGCCTGTTTTGAAAAAGATCTGTCATTATTTAGCGGGTCAAATGGACTCTGACTTTTGTGAGAAAAATGACAAAATTTGTATTCTATGGCGTATATGTTTACTATTGACGGACATAGACCCGAGAAGTTGATAGTATATCCAAGAGAAGCGGTTGACCTTTAAATTGATACCAATTATATTGTCGTATGTACTTGGATGTGGGAGATACACTTAAATATTTACAGGTGCTTACGTACTGAGATATTCTTTAGTAACCCATTACCACACTGGAGGGCGGAAGAGAACGACTATAATTTTCGGTGATGATCAGATAATAATTTTGGGATGAAGTGGACTGAAAACTTATTTTTTTCGAGTCGACCTATAGGCCACAACGGAACATCACAACACAACACACGGTCAAGGGAATCAGGATAAGTAATTGGAAATACTGTACTGAATATTAGTAATATTCGGAAAATATGCCAGTGTAAGGAAGAGGTGCTGTTGACCTCTAATCGGGCAAGAGGGTGCAACTATCACAAAATTTTGCCAGGCTCGGAATGAAATTCCGCAGAAAGTTAGATTTCCGTTATAGTTGTGTAGGGTATCGTATGGTCGGCCCCGTCCGACTATACCGCTCCGCTCACTGGTTTTGATTATTTGCTACATTTTTATAAATTATTTTCGTAAATTGTTGTAAGTGTGGTTGTTGACAACTTTGATGTTAGTTTTTATAGTTTTTTTGACACTCACCTGGTTTAACACATAAATAAATCTCGGCAGGTTTCACGTGCTTATCATCAAGGCCCCCCAAATGAAGTATAACTTCGCCAATAGGTGTTACTAGAGGCCATCCTTGACTCCAAATTAAAGCCTACAAACAAGAAAGAGACAAGAAAAACAATATTTAAAATTTTGAAAACAAAAAAACATGACTGACATAAAAGTCATTAAAGTGTTGTTGTTCTTACAATATTCATATATAGTTGCTGTTGTTGTTATTGTTTAGCTTTGTATTGAAAATGTAATAAAAATTCAATAGATTTTGAAAACCAAAAAAAAAACAACTGAGAATTTTTCTATAGAATCATGATGTGTTGTTGCTGTAAACTTGTCCAATGGTGAAAAATGTGTTTGTTGTTGTTGGTTTTTATTTTTCAATTACAATTGCATTTATTTTGCCCTCTTTTGTTGCCACTTGGTAGTTTAGATTGTAGGTTGCAGTGTTTAAATACATTGACAAAACAAAAAACTTGGTGTTATATAGACAATAATATGAAGAACACAGTCGTTAGGTTCGGACAGGCTGTACCTTTTACACCCGACACCATAAGGTGAATCTTCAAAATACCTTAAGAATAAGTCAAAATCGTTTATAACAACACACAAACATGTAGATTGCCTAATACCTTAAAAAATACCGAAAATGGACGGGACCTTTATGGTGGTTATGCCAAAACAGGGAACTACATAGAAAATTGGCTCCAAAAATGCTTTCCCCCTTCGAGTAGAAAATTGCAGCCACTTATGTATATGGAAGATATATCAGAATATGGATTTATATGGATAATTCTCAGCATCCAATAACTGAAATACTCCGGAATGACAAATAAAAGTCATTTCGGTGGCAAAATGCGGATAAAACCTTTATTATACCGAAAATGAAGCGGTACAGTTATGCGGACTCCGATGAATATTTCGAGTTGTGGTGGTCTTTTATAAAAAATATATATATAAGACCGTTTCCATTTGTAACAGGGTGTATTTATAAAAGACTTTCTGACTTCTCTAAAAGCTGTGGTTCTATGAAAATATCTCCTGTTATTCTCCAGGAAAACCTTCTGGTCTTCTATTAGAAGACATTCTGGTTTTCCCTAGGAAAACATTGTGGTCTTCTGTATAAGGTCTTCCCTAAGAAGACCTTCTGCTCTTCTCTAAGAAGTCTTCTGGTCTTCTCTAAGAAGACTTTCTGGTCTTCAATAAGAAGACCTTTTGGTCTTCTATAAGAAGACATTTTGGTCTTCTAAAAGAATAACGTTTGGTCTTCTATAAGAAGGCCTTATGGTATTTTATAAGAATACATTCTGGTCTTCTATAGGAATACTATGGGGAAGACCTTCTTGTATTTTATAAAAATACCTACTGGTCTTCTAAAGGAAGACCTTCTGGTCTTCTATAGGAAGACCTTCTGGTCTCCTATAGGGAGACCTTCTGGTCTCCTATAGGAAGACCTTCTGGTCTTCTAAAGGAAGACCTTCTGGTCTTCTGTAGGAAGACCTTCTGGTCTTCTATAGGAAGACCTTCTGGTCTTCTATAGGAAGACCTTCTGGTCTTCTAAAGGAAGACCTTCTGGTCTTCTGTAGGAAGACCTTCTGGTCTTCTATATGAAGACCTTCTGGTCTTCTATAGGAAGACCTTCTGGTCTCCTATAGGAAGACCTTCTGGTCTCCTATAGGAAGACCTTCTGGTCTCCTATAGGAAGACCTTCTGGTCTCCTATAGGAAGACCTTCTGGTCTCCTATAGGAAGACCTTCTGGTTTTCTATAGGAAAACCTTCTGGTCTTCTATATATAAGACTTTCTAATCTTCCATAAGAAGGTATTCTTCTACAATAAGGCAAGCAGATCTGATTTTCTATAAGAAGACCTTCTGAACATCTATAGGAAGACCTTCTGGTCTTCTATAGATGTCCTTCTGGTGTTCTATAGATGTCCTTCTGGTCTTCTATAGGAAGACCTTCTGGTATTCTATAGGAAGATCTTCTGGTATTCTATAGGAAGAACTTCTGGTCTTCTATAATAACACATGTTGGTCTTCTAAAATAATACCTTTTGGTCTTCTATAAGAAGGCCTTATGGTATTTTATAAGAATACATTCTGGACTTCTATAGGAATAATATCGGGAAGACTTTCTACCTACTGGTCTTCTATAGGAAGACCTTTTGGTCTTCTATAATAAATTCTTCTGGTCTTTTATCAGAAGACCTTCTGTTCTTCTATAGGACGAACTTCTCTTTCTTCTATAGGACGAACTTCTGGTCTTCTATAGGAAGACCTTCTTGTCTTCTATAGGATGAACTTCTGGTCTTCTATAGGAAGAACCTCTGGTCTTCTACAAAAAGGATGGGATTTTCTGGTCTTCAATAAGAAGACCTTCTGGTATTCTATAAGAAGACCTTCTGGTCTTAAATTAGAGGTTTTCTATAAGAATAACATTCTGGTCTTCTATAAGAATTAATTCTGATCTCTATAAAAATATCTTCTGGCCCTCTTCTATAAAGTCTTCTTCTTCTATAAAGAAGTCTTTCTGTTCTTCTATGATAAGACCTAGTGGCTTTCTAGAAGAATACATTCAGGTCTATTACAAGAAGTACTTCTGGTCTTCTAGAAAACTACCTTCTAGTCTACAATATGAGATCTTGTGATTTAATTCATTGTGACATCTTTCATGTGGGACATAGGACCACTTGTGTATGGGTATGCAAAATTTCAGGAAGCGGATATGGTCCTTTTGACAAAAAAAAAAAAAACACAATATTTATTTTACACAGGGATGGTCCGTGCGACGAATTTTTAGGTTTTCGACTATCAAAAAAGTGTAAACGTCGAAAACGTTATATACCTGTATAAAATGTAGTAAACGTAATTTATTTGAATATCATTACCATATATAGGTATTTTGTACAATATATATCATTTTTATATATATCTGGCTATTCTTTACTGGAACTGATAAACAATTCCAAACTTATCGGAAAAGAAAATTTTGAAATTTGATATGGATTTGAGTAAAACATACGTAATTTCATAACTGATTAATGGAAATAGCTGTTTTGTCAAAAACCTAATGGTTTTGGGTAGGTTTCCGACGTTTCTGACGTATGTATTATACGTCGGAAATGCAGGCCATTTACGTCACTGTTTCTGACGGGCCATCTCTGCTTTTACATTTTAAGTCATTCGAAAATAATCCGTTTTCCTTTTTTAAACACTGTACACTGTAGCTGTTGCAGGTGCTCTCCACAAATGATGTGCGCACAACTGACATTCACGCATGCCTATTTTTTATGATCTGTGAATGAACGAATATGCATTTGTCAAATACATCTGTATATGTATGTACGTTTGTTTTTCAGATAAGAATTTTTGAAATGAATGTCACCGCATTAAAAAAAAACAACATTCAAATTTAAACCATTAATGTTTCGGACAACAACTACCCACCAATATATGTTCTCCACTCCTTAGTAAATGATTGAATTGCTGAACACAAAAAAAGCAAAAAACGAGAAAATAATTTTCAAAGCTATTGATTGCCATTTACGCTGCATTGTGGCAATGAAAATCTAATGATAACCATTATTTTCTTGCCAGCCAGTCTGCCTTTAGAATGCCATTGAAAAAATCGATGATAAATTGTAGATTGATAGCTAAAAACAAAACCGAATATGAAAAGAAGAGACCGTGCCTCTTTTGTTTTGGAAACTTTACGTATCACTGACCCTCATTTGGGGGTGTAGAAAGAACAACGGTTTTATTTGAGCGAGGAAATATCAATACCAAAATCGGAAACACATGGGGTATGGGGTTTGATCGCCTGTGCGATATGTGCCATTTGCGGGCGTTTTGTCATCTTTGTCACTGACATTAAAAAAGTGTAATTATTATGGTTGATTTCATTGATGATATCATGATGGATTATCATCATCATTAGCGGCGGATACATGTGGATGTGGTCTATTTACAAAAATACAAAATGGGATTTGTTTTTTCTTTTCTAATTTGTTTGGTTGCGGAATTTTGGAAATTGAGTTCAATGTCTATTGCTGAAAATAGTTGACAAAAAAAAACTACTTTGAAATTATCAGTTGATGTTGCAACAGAAGTTTAGTCTCAGCCTAGGATATATCTAGTACTAAATTAATCCAGACTTTTTTATGTAATTTTGGACAATTTTTTTAGGCGTGTGAAGCCACAGTCCACATGGGCGAATATATACTAAACATTTTTTGCATAGAAATATCCGAGAATCCGAAATTCCAAACAAGTTTCAAAAGTGGGTAGGACAATCAGGTGGGGCCTATATCAAATCGTGGACAATATTTTGCAGAAATGTGTTTTACCCTGCAGTATCCGGGAATGTCAAATAACAGCCACTTCATTGGGAAAATGTGGCTAAAACCTTTAAAAAACTGACGATAGGGGGCTGCGTTTATTGAAGGGCTATATCAATACATGGACCTATTATAACAATTTTCTGGACCAGGTTATATTAGCATTGAATGACCCTTTTTAAAATATTACAGGTGTACCGAATATTGTATACCATTATATGGGGACTGCCTTTTATAGAAATATTTATTACCCTATGAGATCCCAATGTACCAAAAACAGCCAATTACTTAAAAAAAACTCAAACTACCGAGTAATGGAGGGTACTATTTTATGTGGGCTACACTGAAACTTCGACCAATGTTTATCAATGAGAATCCGAAATAAAAAATTACAGCCTATTCGGTTGAGGTCTATCTTTTTGTAAAAACGTGTCCAAAAGCCTCAAAATACCAATTGTAGGTGTGTAATGTTATAAGGAGAGCCGATATTTTCAATACCAATCATTTCAGGAGTAGTAAAATATGTCGAGTTATATCATGATTTTAAAAGACGGACGGACAAACGATCGCCCAAGTTGACGTAGATCTATGCGTATTAGGCCCGTACATAATCAGCAATCGATTATGTGTGTGCTCGAATCCAACGAAAGCTGTACTCGAATCCAACAAATCTGAAATAAGTGTTTCGAACCAAATGGTCGCCTGTTTCAATTCAAAATCGAGCCCATGGTCTGAGGGAGAGAAAATTCCGTATGGGGAT